TATTCTTACCTCCTTTGTCAAAGATAATGTGCCCATAGGTGCATGGGTTTATCTCTAGGCTTTCCATCTTGTTCCATTGGTCTGTATTTCTGTTTTTGTGGCAGTACCATACTGTCTTGATGACTGTAGCTTTGTAGTGTAGTCTCAAATCAGGAATATTGAGTCCTCCAGCTCCATTCTTCCTTCTCAAGCTTGCTGTGGATATTCAGGGTCTTTTATGTGTCCATACGAACTGTGAACTTTTTTGCTAGTTCTGTGAAAAATGCCATTGGTAATTTGATAGTGATCACACTGAATCTGTAGACTCTGTTTTGTAGTATAGTCATTTTCCCAATATTGATTCTTCCAACCGAGGAGCATGGAATATCTCTCCATCTATTTATGTCATCTTAGATTTCTTTCATCAGTGTCTTACAGTTTTCTGTATACAGTTCTTTTGTCTCCTTAGGTAGGTCTGTTCGTAGGTATTTTATTCTTTTTCCCTAGCAGTTTGGACTGCCTTCATCTAATTCCTCCTCGCCTCAACCTCACCCCCAGTGTCTGATAGCCACAGATCTTATCTCTTTTTCTACAAGTTTGTTTTTGAAGTATAATTGATCCACCAAACTATATTAGTTCCTGTTATGCAGCATAGAGATTTGATATTTTTATATATTTCAAACTGATCATCACAATAAGTCTCCTTATAATATGTCACAATGCAAAAATATCACATAATTACTGACTCTTCCCCACACTGTACATTTCATACCTGTGGCTCATTTATTTTGCAACCAGAAGTTTATACCTCTTAATCTTTCTCACCTGTTTGCCCCACCACTGCCACTACCTGCAATATCCGTATTTATCTTTCTTTGTCTGACTTATTTCACTTAGCATAATACCCTCTCAATCTATCCATGAGGTCACAAATGGAAAGATTTCATTCTTTTTTTATGGATGAGTAATATTTCTGTGTGTGTGTGTGAGAGAGAGAGAGATCTTTATCCATTCATCTGTTGATAGGTGGGCACATAGGTTGCTTCCATATTTTGACTGATGTAAATAATGCTACAATGAACATAAAGGTGCATATATCCTTTCTAATTAGTGCTTTGTTTTCTTTGGATGAATATCCAACAGTGAAATTGTTGGATATGGTAGTTCTGTTTTTAACTTTTTGAGGAATCCCCATACTGTTTTCATAGTGGCTGGTCATTTTACCTTCCCACCAACAGTACCTAAGGGTTCCCTTTTTTCCATATCTTCACCAACACTTGTTATTTGTTGTCTTTCTGTTAATAGCCATTCCGGTTGGCAGCTGTATGTCATCTTTGGAAAAATTTCTGTTCAGATCTTCCACACTAATATTTTGACATACTTCCTACCCATCTTTATATCTGTACTTTATGTATTTATACAAAAGTAGTAGCACAGTGGTGTACAGTTTTATGTCTGTGTCCTCTGTTTTTTACATGAGTAGTTTCCCATGTCATTGTATATTGAACAAAGAAGCTGTTTAAAATTATGATACAACATTAAAATTATATGGGTATGCCATAATCTATTTAATGATTCTGTCATTATTGGGCATTTACATTATTTCTCCCTTTTCTAATTAGTATTTTTATGAGCATCATTTTAGATAAATATTGTTTCCAAGCTTATGATTATTTCTTTAGGATAGATTCCAAAAGAAGTATCAAGTGTTTAAAATGCACATTATTGCACAGAATGATTATACCATTCTAGACTTCCACTAGTGCCTATATTCTTCTAGTCTTTAGCCAGAATTATTCTTTTTTAATTATGCTACTCTGATAAGGAAAAAATGTTATCTGGTTGTTTTATTTTGCATGTCTTAAGTACTGGTGAAGTTCAACCATTATTCATGTTTATTAGCCATTTTAGTTCCTTTGAGAATTGAACTTCAAAATATTTGCTCATTTATATTATTGTTTACTATTTATCCAAGTGAGTTGTGTGAACTCTACATACTAAATATATCAGTCCCTTTTTCTAAACCTTATTTCATTCTAAGAAAAACTTTTATTTCACATTTGACTGTCTCACTGGTATCTTAAAATTGGTCTAAAATTGAGACCACTACAAATTAAATTCTCTGGTTGTCTTTTCTGCCTAAGATAGAGCATAACATAGTATTTATTCAGCCTGAAATCCTGTGTGAACACCAACTTATGGTTCAGATTTTCTGCCTCTCTTCACCCTTTGCTGTGGTTAAAAACATGCATTTCTTTGTGGCCCCTGGTAGATTTATGGAGGAGATAGTCCTTGGGACCCCAGCTTCAGTGAGTCTCCTCCATGAGATTCCCCATCTTCAGAGCTTTTGCTTTCTCAGCAATGTATAAATTCATGGTACAGTCAGTGGCATCCTCAATTCCATGACATATGGTGTGAGTTGTGAATCTTTCTAATTTGTATAGTTTATCGTGTTTTTAATATTACAGATCTTTTACTCCTCAGGTGGTCAGATCTTTTTTTTCCCCCATTTTGATCTCTATGTTTTACAACATCTTTATTTGGATATAATTCACATACTGGGAGAGTCACCTTTACAAAGTATGTGATTTGGTGATTCTTAATATATTCACAAAGTTGTAAAAATATTACCACTATCTAATTTTAGAACATTTTCATTACCTCAAAAAGAAACCCATATACCCATTAGCAGTTACTTTTCAGTCCTTCCTCTTTCTAGCCCCTGGCAACTACTCATTTATTTTCCCTCTCTCTCTGGATTTGCCTATTATGGATATGTCATATAGATGGAAGTATCCAGTATGTGGCCTTTTGTGTTTGGTTTTTTCACTTAACATGATGTTTTCAAGGTTTAATCATCTTATAGTACTTTACTTTTTTATTGCTGGATTATATTCCGTTGTATGGAAAAAATACATTTTGTTTTTGATTCACTGGTTGATGAATATTTGTGTTGTTTACATTTTTGGCTATTATGCTGCTATGAAAATTCATGCGCAAGATTTCTGTGGACATAAGTTTTCATTTCTCTTGGTATATACCTAGGAGTGGAATTGGTAGGTCAGATAGTAATTCTATTTAACATTCTGAGGGACTGCCAAACTCTTTTCTAAATCAGCCATACAATTCTGCAGTCTCACTAGCAATGTATGAGAGATCCAGTTTTCCACATCCTTACCAATGTTTGTTACTGTCTTTTTATTTTAGACATCCTAGTGAGTATAAAGTAGTATCTCAGTGTGGTTTTGATTTGTATTTTTCTAATGACTAATGATGTTCAACGTCTTTTTTTGTGTGCTTTTTGTCTCTCTATATCTTCCTTGGAGAAATCTCTATTCAAATACTTTGCCTATTTTTGGTTATTTCTCTTTTTATTGTTGAGTTATAGCAAGTTCTTTATATATTCTTTTTTTTTTTTTTGTATAGATAAGTTATCTCAGTTACTTCTTTTTTTTTCTATTTATTTTTATTAGTTGGAGGCTAATTACTTTACATCATTGCAGTGGTTTTTGTCATACATTGAAATGAATTAGCCATGGATTTACATGTATTCCCCACTGTTTTGATGGGATGGTGAGTTTAAAAAAATGTGACTTATGTGTTCCACTTATTTACCATTAAAATCCATTTCAATCAGTTTTTAAACATTCAAAATCTTCCTCCTCAAAGGAAAACAAACTCTAATTTTATCTTTCCCGCCCCTCACTTTAATCAGAAGATAGAATGCCAAAGAGCTAGAAAGTGAACCACCAATTAAACAACTTCAAAGAAAGACACCTGGGGTTTCATGCTTTGTAGCTCTGTGACCTTAAGCAGGTCACAACTTTTCTACTCTCAGTTTCTGGACCCATAAAAGGGCCTACCTCCCTCACATGACCATCTGGATAATTTGAGATGCGGAATGTTAATGTTGGCTTCCAAACTCTCAAGCCCTCTACACATGTTATTGATTATAATTATGTTATGATCATTATAATACTGCTCATGGGACACATAAACCTCCACTTCTCTTTAAGTGGAGAGATTGCCCTCTATGCTTTCCTCATTTGTGTTTCCCAAAGCCTTTCTCCAGTTAAGTTCTTGTAAGCTGCCGATGGGAAGGCCCCTGATGAGCTGTGTAATCTAAGCTCTGAGATTTCCAAGGCCAAACATCAGCTGTCAGGTTACCCCTACATGCAAACCTCCAAAGGAAGAGAGATACTGCCAAGACCAAGTTCAGGGAGAAGTATAAACAGGCTTCAACTTCCCTCTTCCTCTGCCTTCCAAGGAAATGTTCTTACAATGTTCAGACAAGAAGAATAATTAAAGAGAATATAAATGAAGATGGTCTGGCTGCAGCTGAAGCAGCTCCCACTGACATATCAAAAGTAAAGTCACAGCCTTCAGTGAGCATGACTGATGGTGAAGTACACTTGCCTTGGCACAGGTTTCCAACATACTTCAGAAGTCATAGAATGCTGTTTGGACAAAGATCAGGAGTGAATTATACATCTAATGTAACCATGACCTAGAAAAGACCGAAAGGGTAGGAAATTTCAGTGGAAAGTTGCTAAAAGAAAAAAGCAAACCAGAAGTAACTTGGCTAAATTGGGTAACATAAGTATAAGATTAAACATTGGCATGTTTAGAAATTCCCAGTCCCACGTTAATAAAACTGGGGTCATGAGCATTCTCCTTACTTTTACCATCTGCGTTTATCAACCCACTCAGCCTCCTCTCAGCACTAGAAAAACATTGCTGAGAGGAGGAAAAATAATTCTTTAGCAATAAACATTTGAATTTCACCTCAAGTAAGACTACATTTCAAAATCTGAAAAGACAGCTCAACCCGGATTTATTCTAAGACATTTTGATTTAAGTCACTTTGGACAAATAATGTTGTCTCCCTTTCCTTGTGTATGTAAAACCTCTTTGCATCCTACTCAGATAATGACTAAAATGTTAATAAGTCATAATTTTAATTAAAAAAGACATCTTTAATGTGGTTTTACAATAATTATCTATTCATTTTCTTTTTCTAGCTTTGAAGGCATCACCTTCTAAGAAACGGTGCAACTCCATCGCCGCCCTGAAGGCAACCTCACAGGAGATTGTGTCCTCAATTAGCCAGGAATGGAAGGATGAGAAGCATGATTTGCTTACTGAAGGGCAGAGTTTTAGCAGCCTTGATGAAGAAGGTAAAGACACAGAACTTAAACCACAAGAATTTTTTCTTTCTTTTCTTCTTTTTTCTATTCATACAAGTAATGTAAACTCACAGTAGAAAAATTAGATGATAGTTTCTCTAAGAAACAAAGTCTCTTAACTGATTTTTCTTTTTTTTTACATCAGACAGATAATATGCTGGTGTCACAACAAGGTTTGCAGGGAGGCATATGTCACGCAGTAGTGTGAACACCCAATCATCATGCTCATCAACTACAAAAGGGTCTTCTTAACTGATTTTTTTAAAGATATTTATAGTATGACACAGTTAATGTAAAATTTTTGAAACACATAAACAATCTGGTATTTGTTTATGGTTAAAAAAAAATTAGAACATACTAAAATATTCAGAAACAAAGATCTATAATCCCACTACCTGTGGTCTGTGCTTATATATATATATATATATATATATATATATATATATTCCCCNTTAATCATTTGGATTTTCTCTTCTAATCCTGTAAGAGGAAGTAACATTTTGGATTTTATTATCAGTTTATTCTTTTGGGAATCCCTGCATTTCCTGAAAATTTCTTTTACTTCCTAAAGAATATTAGATCTCTCCTTGGAATTTTCTTTTCCTCAGAGTCTTTAAAATAGTGTGTTCATCCTTGGCCGTTTTGCAGCACTTATCCGTATGTGCCAAGTTGGATTTCTTTTTTTCTCATCTTATAAACCAACTTTTACCCAGATTTAGTGATTTCAACAAGAGTTTACTGAATTGCCCTCTCCTCACTCTGAGTTAATGGCTCCAGTTTCTAACATCCATCCTCTTGCCCTAGCTTCCCTGCGTTGGTATCTCCCTACCACACTGCCTAAGTCTCTAGAATTAACTCATTTTTAAACTGTGACAAACTTTCAGATAGTGTGTTCAATACAGCTTCTGTTAGCTATACTTATATAAACATGTATTTATTGCTTCTAAAGTGTAAGCTGTGAGTCCAGTTGTTAATCTGAGGGAATAAGTATAATAAATACACTACATAGCATCTAGAAAGTCTGGAAACATAGGAAGCAGTGCACAAATCATGCATTTTTTCAAAAGAACTATTGGACCTGTTGCTTTAAATCGAAAGGCACTTCACCAGAAAAGGTCTCTGAAGGTTGAAAAAGAACCTGTTGAGCATATTCTTTGAAACTGTTGATGTATTATTTTTAAATGGATTTATCTGGACAATTCTCTGCATCTACAAAGTTTGCTGCAAGATTCAGTCATTTTATAATGCTCTGCACTTGAGGACTTCCCTTTCAGGGTGCACCAAGTCATCACCAAACGCCCCTCCAGTTTTTAATCATGTTTTCTGTCATTCTCAGTATGTCTGGGTTGTATTCATTTTCTTTTGCCATGTGACACATTACCAGAAGGTTGGCAGCTTATCATTACCTCTATTTATTATCTCCCAGTTCTGTAAGTCAAAGACTAGCAAGGTTTACCTGATCCTCTGGACACAACTTTATATCAGGGTCACCTCAGAAATGGGTCATCAAGGTATCAGCTAGGCTGAGTTCTCATCTGGAGGTTCTGGAGAAGACCCCTTCTCCAAGCACTTCTTTTTGTTGGCAGAATTCACTTCCTCGAAGTTGTAGGGCTGAAGTACCCATGTCCTTGCTATCTGACAGGTGTGGGCCGGGCTCACCCCTAGAGACCATCCTCGTTCCTTGCCACGCAGCCCCCTCCATCTTCAGATGGAGAATTTCCTGCAAATCAGTGCCCCTCACACTTGGAATCTCTGCCATGACAGTGTCTGACCCTTTAGTATAGTTAAAGGGTTCACATGATTAGGCCAGGCCTACCTGGATAAAGGGGAGAGCCTTTGACTAACTCAGAGTTAACTGATTAGTAACCTTAATTAAATCTGCAAGATTCCTTTTGCCACATAAGACAAAATAATCACAAGAATAATATCGCATCATTCTCACAGCTTCTACCCACACTCAAAGGGAGAGTATATAAGGGTGCAGGTCACTAGGGAACATTCTAGATTTCTGCCCTCCACACTAGTTAGATTTTTTAAAAACTGAAGGATATGGGCACATAAGGAAACAGTTCTCTGGTTCATTGAGCTGCTCCTAGGAGTCAGCTACCTGGTGTTTGGGTGCTTTCTGACCCAGGCCCGAGTCACTGGACAGGTAGTGTTTTTCTATAATCTATCACTCAGGAAGCCTCTGGTTTATGAAGTCAAGCTGAGTATACCCAGGACCCAAGTCTGTATTAGCTGTTCTCAGTGCAGCTCCATCCACCTTATATTTAATAGCGATTCATTGGAATCTGATGTGAGTTTGTGTTTCAGATACACTTTTCTATAATCTTGAGAGTTTTCATATTTTTCTGTGTATTTAATGAGAAGGTAGAATCAAGTATGTTGAAGATTGCCAGCCAGTTGTCAACTGCTAGACTTGTTGGTTTTTAAATGTTGAGTACTTGTGTAATTTTATATGCTCATCATCTGTTAGTCATCATGGCAATTCTTTATTTTGATCTGACTCAGCGGTAAAACTGCACCATCTCCTACACTTTAATGTGTCTAGTCTCCTAGTCCAGAGTCCAGGCCTTCTGTGCCTGACCCCCTTTCCCTCCATTACTCACCCCACCTCTCCATCTATATCCCTCAAAATCCAAAGTCCAAAACCTCACACTCATGTAATTGTGCCAATTAGGGTCAATTTCCATTCATACACTTCATGACAGTACATAATTCTGAGCCTATGGTACCTATAAAGGAATACCACAAACACGTTAAGGCTATATTGTATTTATTATCATCTGTTTTAGCTTACTTTGGGGAAAGGATTAAAAAGGATCCACAGTACAGCATAGTGACTCAAGTTAATAATAACTGTATTGCATATTTGAAAGTTGCTGAGAGAGGAGATCTTAAAAATGCTCATCACCAGAAAAAAATTCTATAAGTGTGCGTGGTGATGGGATGTTAACTCAGCTTATTGTAATGATCATTTCACAATATATACTGGGTTACCCAAAAAGTTCACTCAGGTTTTTCATACCATCTTACAGAAAAAAACCCAAACGAACTTTTTGGCCAACCCAATAAACATATCAAATCACTATGTTATATACCTAAAACTGATCCAGTGTTATTGAGTATGTATCAGCTGTAGTTCCATAAAATTAAAAAATAAAGTGTCTCCATGAGGGGAAATAAGGTCCAACTATGGAATGATAAAAACAAGATTTGTTCACAGTATTCTATCTCTGGGAATTTATATGTCTCTTTTTAAAGGAACTCAGATCTTTGTGGTTGGTTCTTTAAGCAAAATACTATCTCTGACGGGCTGACCATTGGGAGAGGATGAGTTAAAATGATCCAGATTCAACTGTCAAAAAAAAAAAAAAAATCCACGTAGACTCAGAGTGAGCATAGCCTTGGCTGTTCTTCTTTTCTGATGGGGGATACTCTTGCATGAGTATTTCCATAGGTACCTACATTTTAAAGAAAAATGAGTTTAAAAAAAAGCAGTCTTCCTTGTTAAAATATAATATCAAGAAGAGCTGTGAATAATATTCATAGATGCATATGGGCTCAAACAGGGTTAAGGTCTAGCTGGCTGTTAGTCTCTGAAGCATTTGTTTCCTGGCTCTTAGCAAATCTGAGTTTTTAGATCTGCACTGAGAATCGCAGATATGAGCATAGCCTCACAAGGGGGATCAGGTTCACTGTTTATACATTTGCCAATCCTTTTAATCTCTGTCGAATTGTCTCTTCAAGCTCCTAGGAGTTTTTTATGCCATCTTTTGAAACAGTGAATCACTTTATTAGGTTTGAAAAAGAACATTCATAATGTCATTTCCATTAGCCATTTTGTAAATTAGTCCAATTTCCTTTCTGTTTAAGCTGTTTGCAAGGAGCTATTTGCATTTCTGCTGCAGTTCAGAAGAGCACAATTAATTCACAATTTAATTTGCAGCCTGATGTGTAAAATGAATGCTTTTGACTCACTTAGATTATCATAGACACTGAAACAACATTTATTAGTGAGATTCATGAGGGCTTGTTTTGCTTTTTGTTACCCAGCACTGGGATCCCGACATAGGCCAGATCTCGTGCCTAGTACTCCATCGCTGTTTGAAGCTGCTTCCTTGGCGACCACAATTTCATCTTCTTCCTTGTATGTCAATGAACATTATCCACATGACAGGACTACGCTTTATTCAAACAGGTAATACTTAGTACAATCAAATTACCAATCAGCTATTACCATGTTAATGTCACAGCTAGACCAGCATCTCTGAATGAGTCATCCAGTCATCCGTGACAACCAGGTTGTGACCATCACCTGCCCTGTAAGAAAAACAGAAAATCTGGACTTTTACTGTGGTAGGAGGAAAAACCCTCCTGATTTTTATTCACAGTTAATCATTATGTCCTGTAGAAAGTATATATACTTGATTCTATGGGAAAATATGTGAATCTTTATCATTTTTGTTATATCAATCTTATGAATTTTTTTAAAGCGAGCACTCTTGGTTAATATTTTCACAAATAGCTACAAAGATACTTGAATATTTCCTTTTTGTATGAGTGATCTTAGTAGCCATGATAAACAGAATAACAGCCCTCCAAAATTGTCTATGTCCTAATCCCCAGCACCTGTGATGCTCTTCCCTTATAGAGTGAAAGGGGCTTTGCCAATATGACTAAGTTAAAGATCTGGAAATGGGAAGAGTATCCTGAATTATCCAGATAGACCCAGCACAATCACAGGGTCCACATAAGAGGAAATCAGGCAAGATTAGAGTCAGACAAGGAGGTGTGATGGCAGAAGCAGAGATCAGAGAGAGAGAAAGATTTGAAGATGCTACACTGTTGGCTTTGAAGGTATACAAAGGGGCATGAGCCAAGGAATGCAGGCAGAGTCTAAATGCCAGAACAGACAAGGAAACAGTCCGCCCTAGAGCATCCACAGAGGAATACAGTTCTTCCAACCCTTTGAATTTTAGGACTCTGACTGCTAGAGCTATAAAATAATAAATCTGTCTTATTTTAAGCCATGAAGTTTATGACAGTTTGCCACAGAAGCAATAGGAACCTAATACAGTGACTCTCAAACATTTACTGTGAATCTGAATGTTGGGGTGGGTTACTGAAATTTCTTAGATAGAAAGTGAATTTTTGTTAGATATTTTTCTAATAAAAAATTAGATAAAATGTTCTCAAACACTGGTTCTAGTAATAGAAAATATCTTTACAAAAAGATCACAACTTTGTGAGATTAGCTATTTTTTCTATTTTTATATAGGCATTTCTGTAACTAGCTTCAATTACAGGGTAGGGACTACTGTGTATACCTTCTCAATACTTATCTGTTAAATGTCGAACTGGTTCTTGTTAAAATTCAGCCTTCAAGAATCAAGATCAAATTTGTACAAGTGCTTTTTATACAGTAAGTCATTTCCCCCCTCCAACCTAGCAAGTTGGTTCACCTCCAGAAAGAGGACTCAATATGATAGATTCATTTTTAATGTGTGCATCCTTGTAAATCCTAGCTTGGTCTTTAGCAGGTTAAGATTTGGTAGTTGAAGCTTCTATTCAGTTCAGTTGCTCAGTCGTATCCGACTCTTTGCGACCCCATGAATCGCAGCACGCCAGGCCTCCCTGTCCATCACCAACTCCCAGAGTTTACCCAAACTCATGCCCATCGAGTCAGTGATGCCATCCAGCCATCTCATCCTCTGTCGTCCCCTTCTCCTCCTGCCCCCAATCCCTCCCAGCATCAGGGTCTTTTCCAATGAGTCAACTCTTCACATGAGGTGGCCAAAGTACTGGAGTTTCAGCTTCAGCATCAGTCCTTCCAATGAATACCCAGGACTGATCTCCTTTAGGATGGACTGGTTGGGTCTCCTTGCAGTCTAAGGGACTCTCAAGAGTCTTCTCCAACACCACAGTTCAAAAGCATCAATTTTTCGGCGTTCAACTTTCTTCACAGTGAAGCTTCTGTAGAAATTCCTTTTTCTTCCTGCTCCCTTCTCTCTCAGCTAGATACAGGTTAGGTGGTAGCAGATGAGACAGTCTGAAAAAGAGGAAGAAAGGACAAGATGAATTTCAAATCTTGCCTGGACTTCCATTTGGATCACTCTACTCGAGGACCAACAAATAAGGCTCTGTTGTAACTTATTCAACTCATCTGAACTGAAAAAGTAATTTGAGCTTCCTCAAATTAGAAAAATTTAAAGTAATTTATACCTAACATGAACATGTACCTTGAATGTTCAAATTTGTTATGTAAATTAGTCAAGCAGCAGTTTCTCCTGTTCATATGGCCCAGCTGTGAAGACTGTTCTTTTGCTCTCAAATGTAAATAGCAGCTCAAAGATGACTGGAAAGTCACAGGAAGTTCTTTGAAAGGTCAAAATCAATTCTCATGTGAAGCTGTGGTGGTTTCTTTACCATTTGCTAGTGCCCTCATTGTCAGGGCAGATAGTTGGATGTGCTGTTAAATTACATACTAGAATTTTCAGCAAAAATACAAGGGTTTTATATGTTTGTTTTTGGTGGCAGTGGTTGTGGTCAGTCTCTTTACCAGAGGTATTCAACTCTTGGGTATTTATAAGGTTCCTGGAGGATCTGAATCAGAGTTCCTACTAACTCCCAATCCTTTCTGCCCAGCTTGGGAGATACCTCGCCTGCTCCAGAGCTGTGGTATACAACTCTTGATACCTTTATTTATGCTGATACAGGTTATTATTTAGATGGGCAAAGCATCAGTGTTGTCTATGATGTTTTCCCCTTTCTCTCTCTTTTTTTAAGTGAATTGTTTGAAATTAGTCTTCTGTGGCATTGTATCTCCAAGTTGCAATTTGATACATTTAGCTATCCATCTGGGTTTAGTTGCAAGAACAAGAAACCACTGGGTCTTAAGCAGAAAGGGATTTGATACAGAGAATTCACAAAGTCTCTTAAAACGCTTGGGGGTGCATTGCGCTGTGGGTGGGACATCAGAAAACCTACTCCAGGTACATATCCCGGAGCTGGCCCACTAGTAGCCTTGCAACCTTTGTCACAATCAAGTGGAGGTCCTGCCCGAGGGATGCAAGCCTGAGAAAAGCATGCTGTGAACCGAGAGTATTGTTTAAAGAAACCAACATTTTAAAATCATATTACTAAATCATCACTAAGTAATCATATCGTATTTCACTAAAATGCCCAAATTCTTTTGAAACATCACTGGTTGTGGCACCACTTGGCTCCCTTGCTTCAGCTGGAGAGGAGAGCATGGACACTCCAGGTCAGCACCCTCTGCTGTGGTCATCTCTGCTCTGGCCTGCGTGCTCCTGTGGGCATTTCTGCTCTTCACACATGATGTGTAAGAGAAGTCAAAGACATGCCTCAGATCTTAATGACTGCCATAGGGAAATCATAAGGAAAAGGTGCAAAAAAGACAGAGGTGCTAAAGAACCTTGAAGAGAAATAATGGTGATTCAACCCCCCGGGAATCAATATGCCTAGTTCCCCACCCACCATGCCCACCCCTAATTACTCAGCAGGGAAACCTTTCCAGCCAATTGAAACGAAGTTGTCATATTTTGTTCCTATCATTTTTTCCTTTAGAGTCCCCCTAGTCCTACATGGTGTCTCTTGAGGCAATACATAAACAATATTTTAAGTCTCTTCAGGCCCACTAAAGTTTAAAACCTAATTCAGACAGCCCGGAAAGAAGATTGATGTTTACAATTCATGTTAGGTTTTTCCCTTTCTTTATGAATCATTTTTATGTTAAGGCAGAGTGGTCAGTTTTCCCACTTCCACATTATACTATACATATCTGTACTTAAATATGAAATAGTAAATATTTCAACTAACAGTTGTCATTGTGTCCATCCTTTCAGAATCTTTTAAGTTTGAAAAGTGTCAGTTAGTGCCTGGATGTTTCTATTCCTAAATTATATACTGTAGTGGGCTGCTGTTATCTCTTAGAATTACTCCTTTTCTTTTTTTAAAAAGATTATTCTTTGTGACTTCAAAAATTCCAGTAGCAATTTATTCTTTTTTTTTAGTTTTCTTCCAAAATTTGCTTGGGGGCCAAAAAAATACTATCATTTTTAAAGCATATTACCGGGAGTATATATTTTCAAGTTCTACTCAACAGTCCTATGTTAGAGCATGCAATTCATAAGAATACAAAGAAACTGTTATAAGTTCTTGCTTCCCAGTCAAATGGTGGGATTTTAATTCTGAAGTTTTGATTCTTGAATTTTTCTTTCCTAATAAGAATTCTGTTTTTTGAAAGGAGATATAAATTGAGCACTAAGGAATACAGAGGCCAATGTGTTTTATCTCAAAGTTAAGAACAGTTTAGTGTTGTGGAAGTTGGTTGCACACATGAATTTTAATTCTTTTTGTGATTTCCTGCACAGTTGGTAGCAAACGTGAAGCTCTTATTATGTATAAGGATCGAAAGCCCTACTGCATTCCAATATGTTTATCCTTTCCCCACCAAAGATGTCTTTACCATCATCACCACTCTGTCTGGTCTCGTGTTTTGCTAGTGGCTCAGACTGAAGACATTTGAAATATTGTGAGAAGGACGGGTGGGTCAGAGGAAAACCACTGGTCATTCGTCCATGGAGGGCCAGCTGGCAAAGGCTCCCTAAGTGAGGAGCCCAACATTTGAGACCTCAAAGGCTGACTCAGTGGCTCTAAGCACAGTTCTATGCGCTTTCTTCCTGCCAGTAGAGAATGAATGGTAAACCTCAGGGAGGGTGGAACAGTTGTCTCTATCTACAAGCTCCTCCCCACAAATTGCTTATCATTCAAATTTAAAGACACATAGGTAGAGCCATCCCAAAGAATGTTAGAGACCCATTATTTTACAGATGTTGTCTAAAAGATAAAGGAAGAGAAATGCAGAGACATGCATTATATGACATATCCAAAGTCACAGAGCCTGCTAACAGGATTTAAATTGGAACACAGGTCTCTGGGGTCCAAGCCTCATGGTCTTTCCACTGTGCCACCTTTCTCATCATGGTCTCTGAAGACCTCTGGTCTTATCCTTGATGTGTATGTTATGCACAGATGGTCAGTTGGGTTTTTTTTTTTTCTTAATGTGAATTCTGGCCCTCTGAGCATTTTTTTTTTCTTCACTATCTAATAACTAAAGTATTTCCAGTTGGCAAAGTGGTGGGCTTATGTTAACATCTACCTATGATGTTTATTCTA